ATAAACCCTGTTTTTTTAGCGAAAACAAATTGAGAAAATTAAATATTTAATTGTTTAGATAATTTTGACTATCTGAATAACTAGAGAGTGCTGTATGTTGAACTTTAGTGAGAATTTTTTTTTCAAGCGTTTATAAATTTTTAATGGCAGCAAATAATCACACTGGTGGTCCTCAGGGGTCAAAAATGTCCCCACTTCATTTGACTGTTTTTTAAAGTAAAAAGTATAAATTGTCAATCAATTCAGTGTTACACCTTAGTTTTACTTAAGACCAACACATTAAAACAAAATTTACTCAACATTTTACATTTTAGGGCCACCAGACCTTCTTTACAAAAAAATAAACCCTGTTTTTTAGCGAAAATAAAACAAGAAAATTAAATATTTAATTGTTTAGATAATTTTGACTATCTGAATAACTAGAGAGTGCTGTATGTTGAACTTTAGTGAGAATTTTTTTTTTGAACCATTTAAATTTTTTAATGGCAGCAAATAATCACACTGGTGGTCCTCAGGGGTCAAAAATGTCCCCACTTCATTTGACTGTTTTTTTAAAGTATAAATTGTCAATCAATTCAGTGTTACACCTTAGTTTTACTTAAGACCAACACATTAACACAAAATTTACTCAACATTTTAGGGCCACCAGACCTTCTTTACAAAAAATAAACCCTGTTTTTTAGCGAAAACAAATTGAGAAAATTCAATATTTAATTGTTTAGATAATTTTGACTATCTGAATAACTAGAGAGTGCTGTATGTTGAACTTTAGTGAGAAAGTTTTTTTTCAAGCGTTTGAAAATTTTTAATGGCAGCAAATAATCACACTGGTGGTCCTCAGGGGTCAAAAATGTCCCCACTTCATTTGACTGTTTTTTTAAAGTATAAAGTATAAATTGTCAATCAATTCAGTGTTACACCTTAGTTTTACTTAAGACCAACACATTAACACATAATTTACCCAACATTTTACATTTTAGGGCCACCAGACCTTGTTTACAAAAATACACCCTGTTTTTTAGCGAAAATAAAACAAGAAAATTAAATATTTAATTAAATTAAATATTTAAAAAATTTTTTTTTTTTTTAAATTCTCACTAAAGTTCAACATACAGAGTGCTGTATGTTGAACTTTAGTGAGAATTCTTTTTTTGAACCATCTATAAATTTTAAATGGCAGCACATAATCACACCTGTGGTCCTCAGGGCTCAAAAATGACCCCGTTTGCTTTGAAGCAACAAGTATAAAATATCATCCATCTCTGTGTTTCAAGGTTTTATTCAACTTTATTCCAACTCATTGCCTGACAGTTTTCTATATTTTGGCATGGTAGGAGGGCATGAGTCTGAGTGAAGGCAAACTTTCATGAGGACAAAGGCGTGTCCATATTTGACCCAAGTGCAGGAGGAAGCTCAGGTTTATTCCTCTGCACTGGTCCCATCATGGACAGCATTCTTTCTGCAGTTGCAGGCCAAGGGGCATATACAGTAAACAAGCTGTTACAGGTGATTGTTTTCTTTTGGAAACCTGCAATGTTAGGGACAACTCGTGTCCTGACTGCAGGACAGACGGTTTGCCATCGCACACGAGCATGTTCCATGTACAGCTGGACCTGCATCACATGCTGCCCATGTTTTTGTCTCAAAGTTCCCTGGTTTACTTGGATGTTCTGTTGGAGGGGACAGAGTCCTCTGAAGGGGACTTGGTGCTCATACAGTCACATCAGTACCAGGATCTTACATCACAGCAGGAGGAACACCCACTTGTGTTTCAAGTCAAGTCAACACCAACACACATCATACACCTCAAATGGGAGCACGTTTGTGTCATGAACGACGATCATCTATTGTGTCTTTATCAAGAAATTATGTCCTTTTTGTGCTTCTATGATTAATCTTGTGTCAGCATGAAAACTTCTCTACCAGACTCAGGATGTCATAAACTGGCCGTAGCGACTCTACTGGATGCACGGCAGTAAGAATCAACACACCCACATATGCCTACAGCTGCATTCGGTCCATTTTTCTTCCTCTCTTGTTGTCCCTCCTTGTTCATCATTGAGTTGGCTGTAGAGCAGGTCATCTGCTAATTGGATGGTTGTTGGTTCAATCTCTGTGTGCTCTAGTCTGGAGTTCTTACCAAGGTGTCCTTGGGCAAGTTACTGAACTCCAACTTGGTCTCTGATGCATCCATTGGCATGTGAATGTTAAAAAGCAGAATACAAGCAGAATACACTGTGTATAATGCTTTCAGTACTCGAGTAGAAAAGCCACTGAAGGAGTATGGGACCTGGCACATGTGCTTGGACTGTGATAGATCATCTTTCTCTGAGGCACATGAGAGAGTCAGGCATCGTCTGTCACTGGGAAGGTTAGAAGACCAGATCAGTGTTTCCTCACGTTACTGCAAATATTCCTCTGTCTCAGCTGATTCCTCTTTCCTGCTTGATTCTTTGTCTTCATCATAATTGAAATGGATGATGTGTAGTCCTCTGACACATCTTCTATTTCAGTTTCACATTCTGAAAATTCAAGAAACTTCAAGAAGCCCAGTCACTTTCTCTCCAAGCTCCTCAGACTACCATGTCCTGGATGCCTGAGAACCTACTTGAACATAGTTCAGATTCTTCATCACTTTTCTTCACTTCATAGCCTTCTTCCACTTCCACTTCTGCAGGTGGCTGATGTGCTTTTTCAGAGAAAGGGTAGCATGTGCTCTAAATATTGACAATATTTTCTATATCTTCTAACCCTGGATCTTCCTGAACATTGATTCTTCCTCCTCATTATACTAGAGGACAATATGTGCTTTGTCCTACTGGTCATTGCTTTGCACAGCATGGTAAAAAAAAGTATGCTCATCAAAGTATGCAAATCTCCAGTGCAATGGAGGCTTTTGAGGATACTTTCTGTGTATGTATTATTGCAGAGTCTACCTTACAATACGAAACACTTTGATGCGGCTGTTGTTGTGATTTGGCGCTGTATAAATAAAATTTCATTGAATATAGAGCACCTGCCTCCTCATTGTGCTGCCTGTTGTGGTTGTTATGACCAGTGCTTGACCCCACACATCAGTGATCCAAGATCAAAGATGTTTGAAAACAGTATGGTGTGAAAATACGGCTCTTTGCAACACTTTGTACTTTGGGGTCATTTTTGTCCACGAGGGCAAACAACGTTATAAAATTCAATAAAAACCACATAAATAAATCAAATTACTTGAAACGTATTCCAATCATTCATAGTATAGTAATGAATAACTTCTGTTATTTTCAGCCCATTTGATGAATAACAAATACATTTTTGATAGCAAAAGATTTCTTTAGAGGACAAAAATGACCCGTGGACAACACAAGGGTTACTAAATTACCTCCTCAACATGTCTTGAAGTCCTCTATTGGCCTGGTAATGAACTAATCATTTGATTCAGGTGTGCTGGCCCAGGATGATATTTAAAACCTGCAGGACACCGGCCCTTGAGGCCTGGAGTTGGACATCCCTGCCTTAACCCAAGCTCACTGACACTTTTCACCAGCACAAACCAACAGTTAAAGGCATATATTATTCTTACTTGTGTACTTCATGTATATAATGAAAATATACGGGTGGCTGCTCCCTTGTAACAAAGAGTACTTCATGCATATGTGTAGGACTAAAAAGCAGATCCACAAGTGTTCAGATAAAATTGACTGCTGCCCCCAAGTGGTCAAACAAAAGGATTGCAAACATTGATTAAATGAATGAAGGAATAAATAAGTTTATAGTTAACATTTTAGCATCTAAATAATATGTTTGCATACATGCTGAGCCAAATAAAGAAACCATTTTAAATGTTTTAGTCTATTTATATTTTATTTTTAGATAAACATCTATGCCGGAAATGGCACCTTGTTACTTAAAGGAGAAGTCTTTTAAAATATATTAATCAGAGGAGCTGGCATCTAGAAGGTACTAAGAAATTATAAATGCCACCAAACAAACAAACAAATAAATAAATAAACAATTTACATTGACATTTAAGAGGCTAATAAACAGGTCTTTATTTTATAATCTAAAAAAAACCCAAACTCTCTAGTCTGATCCATCATCACAGTAACACTTCAGGCATATCGATCAGTCCAGTCAGGAAGCAAAAGCCATTGTGACTCGGTGGGACCTGCTCTGTGCAGCTCACCTAGCACAGCTGGCAGGTGCGCCTCTGGTGCTGCATTCCCTTTACTCACTGAGCACATACGACAGATGTGAAAGAGCCTGCAGATGCAGCTGAATTATGCAACATCTTCCTGCATGACCGTTTTTTAGCAGTGCGTCTGAGAAGACCTCCACGTGTTAGCCGGCGGTGCCCTGACTGCTTTTAGGTTCCAGGATGAAATCCTCAGACACGAATTTCAGACCTAACACTTGTGCAGTGGGGCCCCGGGTCCTCCTGGTGCAGATTCTGATCTTTAAGGAAATTCCCCACAACCCCATTCATTGTTTAATCTGTCTGTAGTACAGTTACAGGCATGTATGATGTAAGTCTTACTGGGATTTTTGGATGATTTTAGTTTCCATGGACTGTTTTTAGCCCAAGTTTTAAGGATCCGTCTTTTTTGTTGCCCTCTGTATATTCTTTTAATAGCTGGTCTGTTTCCTGCCTCTTTCAGTTGAATTTCACTTGTACAGAATAGCAGCCAAATACAATCTTACATAATAAAGTCAAAGGTAATAAAGACGTTGTGCTGCTTGTGGAAATGTGCTTCATTCACTGGGCAGATCCATCAAAGAAGACAAAGCAGGACAAAGGTAACTGCTGTTGCTGCTTACTGATGACACTATAACACACAAATGATAACCTAAACATTAAGACCCCCCTTAATGTTTATTATAGACCCCCGCCCCCCCTCCCGTTTGTCTTTTAAACCCCTTCATATCCATTCTGTTACAGCTAAATCCCCCTCCACCGCATGCACCGTTTCATTTCACCTGGAAATCCCCGGATCAAGCCCCCTTCCTACCTTCACCTCTGTTACCAAGTGTCCAAAGCTGGTGAGGGGGATCCTCGTTTTAACAGGTGACGTCGGCATGACTGAGGAAAACACAAAGTTATTTTCCCTTTTCACACATTCACTACAGCCTGAGCTTCGTCTAGGTGATACTTACCGCAGGTTCAAGGGTGGGAGAGACGCTTACACAACAATCGGGCGTGTGGAAACTGTTCCGTACAGGTTTAACGGACAGCACCCACTGACCAACCACGTGGTTTTGCTTAGAGTATTAACCAATAGTCTGTGGCCTGGTGGGAGGAGCTCGCCCACAGTTACGCAAACAAAAACCGGTGGAATTTGCTTTTCTTTGACTGAGCCACTAGAAGGCGGGAGACTACAATTTATGTGGTCCTGCAGACATGCCCAGCCAATGAAGCTATAAAATATTATTTTTATTTATTTATTTAAGTTATTTTTAAATGAACCTTTATGCTGGGAATGCCACCCTATTCTTTTCCTGTAAAATCTCTCCATTTACTAATATGTTACAGACCACACTATAATCTGCAGTTTACCCGAGATCAAATGATCGTATTCTGATAAAAAACAGAGAATATCAGGCAAAACAAGTGGGCTTTACTTATTTTGGTATATACAGACACGACAGCGTCAAACTACACTTTTATGATGTGAATCTCCTGTTCCATCACACCCCAAAGGGGCTCTGTTGAACTGAGAAACTCTGGAGCTCATTTGAGTACAGTGAACTCATTGTCACTTTCAAGAAACGAGATTAAGATGATCTGGACCTTGTTACATGGTGCATTATCTTACTGTAAACTTTGATTGGTGCAGTGTGGTCATGGTGTGGACATCGTTAACAGCAATGCTGCGGTGCTGAAATGATGCTCAGTTGGTGGTAAGAGGCCCAAAGTGTACCAACATCCTTACACCAACACCAGCAGGATGAAGTGTTGATACAAGACCAGATGGATAATTGCTTTCATGCTGTTTATGCCTAAATCTGACCTCACGCTGGCTTTAATCTCAGTTTCCTGCTCTTAGCTGAAAGCTGTAGCATCCAGTAATGTCCTCTGCTGCTGTAGCCCATCAAATCAGTTGAGTTCAACTGGTGAGTGCATTGACGTGCTCTTTTGCATACCTCGATACTCAGTTTGTCTTGACTATCTCTACATCTCTAAATGCAGAGTTGCTCCCATGTGATTGACTGATTAGATATTTGTATTAATGGGCACTTGAACAGGTGGAAATGGTGAAAGTGTCCAGTGAGATCTGCCTCGCACTCCGTAGAGAGTGAACAAACGTCCTGGAACATTTCTAGAGTTGGCAGAAAATGAATCAACCTTTGAAACAAAGCAAGGCTTTAATTTGACACAATTTATTGATTTAGGGATGATCAAAACAAACACAAAAGCAAAATCAGCGAAGATAAACAGCACTACGGAGTTCTTTAAACTAAAAATCATTTAAAAACAGTGGAACTTCTGCCAAGTTGTTCAGTTTACAATGGTGTGAAAGTACTTTACTACCTGGCTGAGTTTCCCAGACTCTCACACCCACTTTCCAAAGAGTTCAATTATTTGTGCACGGGCATGAAAACAGGCAACGCGCCAGGGCCATCTCAGTTTCTGTTTGTGCTTCTGCTACCGTCGACCATGTTCAGTGCTGGACTGCTGACTGCTCTGTTACCTCTGTTTTGGCAGAAGTGGTGTTCAAAGGAAAAATGGGAGTGTGAGTGAAATTTGGATCAAGTTCAGAGCTTGAACAAGTTTGCACAGGACAGCAGTTCCAACACTGCCTGTGTATTTCCTAGAAAAAATGAGCCCTTAGATTTTTTTCAAGCAATTTATTGAACATTTGCACCACAGACTAATGGTGGAAAGCTTAATCCCATAAACACTCATTATAAACACCAGTATCTAAACTACACAGAAATTTGCCTCAGTGTCTACAAGGTCCAGCAACACCTGTTTTTCCAGATATTCCCACTATTACACAAGCATATTCTTGTTAAATTCACTGTTTATCTGTGGTTAGCGTGATCTTTTGTGTACGATGCAGTTAAAGGTAAACACTGCTGTAACTTGCCAGCGAGCTTTGTTCTTGCCTACTTTTATGATTTTTTCCCCATCAGACTTCTCTCTAGAAACATAACGCTCACATATTTTCCATACACAAACATTTTAAAAACATTGTTTTAAGTGAAATGTAATTAAAATTAGATCTCTAGATTATATTGACCTTAAAAAAAGGCATGGGAAATAAAAAGCATTTTACTGTTTTTCAGTTTTCTTTAACAGCGAGATGCACCACATGCAGACGGGGAAAATATAGGTGAAAAACAACCAGTGAGGTTATCTGCCACTGATAAGTGTGACCTGATCTTTTGATCTTTTTTAGTGTGCTAAAAATGTTTTGCACAATCATCTTAGTCATGCCAACTGAGACTCTTGTTTTCATTCAATCATTAAAGCCATCAGTGCAGCTAAAACTGATTGCTGGAATGGCTGCTCTGAGTTGTGGGAAGGTGACAGACTGACACCTTTTAGCCCATTTTCTCACATGAAACCTGTAACATGACAGGTTCAAATATTCAGAAAAGGCAGAGGTTTCCGTCATTCACACATAACCTCCTACACATAACGCTGCCATTCCAGAGAGACTGAAGGAACAGCGTTTAATATAAACAGGAATCAAAGGAAACAACCCACCGCCTACACTTTAAATAGACTTGTATACCTTGTTTTATGGATCACATGTGGATTGTGCAAATGAGTAGCAAATAACAGAATATTAATTCAGTGTGTTACTTTAATCACTATAAAAACACTTTTCAGCAATACAACATTGCTGATTTTCTCATTGCGGCAATAGCTTTCTGTCTTTTAGATGTACACTCACTCACCACTTTATTGGGTACACATGCTAGCACTGGGTTGGCCCCCCTACCTCAGCGGTTGCTGGAAACACTCCTCAGATGCTCAGTTGGCTGACTTTGGAGTACAATGAACTCATTGTCATGTTCAAGAAGATTCCCTTGAATTCCCTTGAGATGATATGAGTTTTGTGACATGGTGTATAAAAAGGGTATGCTATGATCAAGGCATCAACATGGTCAGTAACAACACTCAGATGGGCTGTGGTGTTAAATAATGCTCAGCTGGTACTGAGTGTACCAATTAAGTATCCCTCACACCACCTGAAACACTGATGCAAGGCAGGATGCATCCATGCTTTCGTGTTGTCATCTCAGTGTTGCAGCAGAAATCAAGACTGATGAGGGCAAAGTGGGACCCAGTGTGGCCTTCTGCTGCTATAGCCCATCTGCTTCAGGGATGGGCATGTTGTGCATTCAGAGGTGCTCTATTGCATACCTTGGCTGTAACAGTGGTAGAGTTACTGTTGCCTTCCTCTCACCTTTCAGCAGTCTGGAATCTCTGACTGCCACAAGGCATTTTCACCCAGAGAGCTGCAGCTCACAAGATATTTTCTCTTTTCCAGACCATTATCTGTAAATCCTAGAGATGGTTATGGGCTGAAAAACTCAGTAGATCAGCACTTTCTGAGATATTCAGACCAGCCTGTCTGGCACCAACAACCACGCCACATTCAAAGTCACTTAAATCCCCTTTGTCCCCCAATCAGATGCTCAGTTTGTACTTCAAGCAGGTCATCTTCGCTTTGTATACATACTTAAAAGCACATTTGCTACCACGTGATTGGCTGACTAGATATTTGTGTTAATGAGCAGATGAACAGATGTACCTAATGAAGTGGCCATTCGTAGTTATATAGACGAATACCCATACACATTTTAGTACATTTTAATCAACCGATCAGATAACCTTTGTCACTCTAACAGCTGCACAGAGTGAAGTATAGAACATTATCTGGCTGTTAGAGCCTGATCGATCCTGTTTTTGTGTTGAGGACAGTTTCTTCTTAGTTTCTTTTTAGTTATTTTTAAATGTTTATGTTGCAGTAGCCACATTTAAAGCAAGATCATCTCTCTATCTTTGGAAATGTTAGTGTATGGATTCTGGTGCTGTAGATATGTAATAATCCCAGAAGAAAGACTTCTATGATCAGCTGGAAGCAACTAAATAACTTTGGGTCATTTTGACATGCAGTTATCACTACTAATATTATGAGCATTACTGATGAGCGTTATTAATCTGATCTATTAAAGGCTCTGTCTTCAACACAAAACATTGTATTCTAGTAACATTTCATGTCTTGAATAGAAGTAAAATTAGAAGTCAAAGGTTTTTTTTTGGTTTTTTACCTCATGTCTAAATTTTATTTTGCCATGTTTATTATATTCTATTGCTGCTATTGTTCTTGTGTTATTGAAAAAATGAGCCCGTAGATTTTTTTCAAGCAATTTATTGAACATTTGCACCACAGACTAATGGTGGAAAGCTTAATCCCATAAACACTCATTATAAACACCAGTATCTAAACTACACAGAAATCTGCCTCAGAGTGTCTACAAGGTCCAGCAACACCTGTTTACCTGTTTTTCCAGATATTCCCAATATTACACAAGCATATTCTTGTTAAATTCACTGTTTATCAGTGGTTAGCGTGATCTTTTGTGTACGATGCAGTTAAAGGTAAACACTGCTGTAACTTCAACTGTCTTCAACACAAAACATTGTATTCTAGTAACATTTCATGTCTTGAATAGAAGTAAAATTTGAAGTCAAAGTTTTTTTTTTGGTTTTTTACCTCATGTCTAAATTTTATTTTGCCATGTTTATTATATTTTATTGCTGCTATTGTTCTTGTGTTATTGTAAGGTGGGTGAAAGGTGCCTATAGATAAAATTATTATTATTATTATTCATATTATATTATAAGGAAAATATGAATGGTGGAGACTGCTGTGTGCACCTCCAGCAACCAACTATTCCTATGATGTTTTGTCATATTCAGGTCATTGTGTGTGCAGAAAAAAGCCTGTTTAACATATATAACTGTGTCAGAGATCACAGTGTAACAGTCAGTTTTTGACTAACCCCAGTGAGGCTGTTCTCCCTAACAGTCTTTTAGAGACTCAAGATTTACGAGAGGCAGGTCTGCATGCTGTAATTTCACGTGTTAGTTTTTATTAATCTGATGGAATGCATCCTGACTTCTTGTAAGTGGAAAGTTATATTCAAATATTGCAAAGGCCCCACCCGTGGTAGCTTTACCGTAAAAGTGTTTAAGGTGCTCATTCGGACACGAAGGCGACACTTCT